GGGGGGGTCACGGAGAAACGCGGGCCGGGGCAAGCCCCCAAACCGCGGGGGGGGGGGGCTGCCCCTTTCCTGCTGGTTTTCTGGGTGGCATTTTCCAGCTGCGAGCGTGGGAGGCGGGAGCCCCATCCCACCCCAAGGCCCTGGGACAGAAGGCGAGAGCCAGGCAAGAGCTGGGGAACAGAATTTAAGGGGGTTCTGACAAAACAGAGGGGCTTTGTGGTGAGGAACGAGCCTTCTTGTGGAAACACGCAACGCAGTTGCAGCAGGAACATTTCTCTCGCCTCCAGGATGTTATTTCTGGCTGAAACCAGTGAGACGTGGATGGACCCCTGCCTCCCGCTGCCACGGGCTCCCCAAAGGCTGCCAGGGTTTCAGAGGACTTGGGGCACCTGTAAGAGCAAAAAACACCTCCCTCCCCTTCACGCACAGCACCGGGAGAGAAAATTCAGTCAAGGAAGCCGGGCCTCCTCCCAACTCGTGATGGCATCCCTGGTACAAGGCCCGGGAAGGCAGCAGAGCCAGGAATGGAGAAGGGAGGGACCCTAAGAACCATCCCCAGACACCCCGGGACAGGAGCCACAGGCAGCTGGGGCAGCTCACGCATGCTCTGGCCATGGGGAGCTCCTGCACCACGGACCTGGCCCTGGAGGCACAAGCTCTTCACTGATCCCGGGATGAAAATGCTCCTCGCCCTGCGGAAGCGGCTGTGCTCAAGAACAGGTCACGTTCAGGTTCCGCACCAGGACCCGGGGGCTGTTCTGACAGGCACTCACGTTACCCGAGGTGGGCGGACAGACCCAGCAACACACCCTGCCCCGGAGATCCTCACTCTTAGGGACCGTAAGCATCTGCTGCCAACATCTTCCCAAGCGCTGTGCTGGGCATCCCACCCGGCATGGGGAGGATCAGTCGGAAAAGGCACGGAGCCCTTCTCTTGCTTCTGCCATCGTGACGCACAGGACAGGGGCATCTCAGCCTCCAGAAACATAACAGGCTTCTGGCTCACTTTCAAATTAGGTTTTTAATTAAATAAATAATGTCGAGGGGTCTTCAAGGCAGTATCACTTCACAGTGTAGGGCTTGGGCGGAGGGGAAGGGGGGAAAAGAGTCCAGCATTGGGAGTGGCTCAAAGTGAATGTGCTTTGTAGGAAGGAAAAAGAAAACCCCAACAAAAAACCGAAACCAAACCTCCTCCCCAAGTGACTCCCCCTCCCTGCCCCAGCCCTTTCCACCCCTTTCCCTTAAAGTTATGTGGAAAAAGCGCCGCACTCATGTTGAAAGACCCCATGTGAATCTGTAAACAACACTGAAGAACATAAATAAGAGACATTTTTGCCTCCCCCAGCCTCCCCTCTCCTTTCATTAGGGCTTGAAACAAACTAAAGAAAAAATGCGTTCAGGAAAACTAAGAATGTTCTTGGCTGATGGAGAGGAGATGCCAAGGCCTGGCCCTCCCTGGGAGGGCTGCCCGTGCTCTCATCCGGCCTCCTCTTCTCCTTTTGGCCAAGGAGCTTCCTCTCCCCCCCAGAAAAGGGGAATCACAGCCTGGGCAGTTCCACTATGGAGCGGACACTTGTATTTGCTTTCTGTTTCCAGCAGCTGGGAGCAGCTGGAGGGGAGACCTCTGGTTACCACGTCTGGTTGGCAAAGCGATGCCTGGTCAAGGCAGCTGTGTGTGTCTGGAGCTCAGCACCTCTCAGCGGAGCTGGCTGGGGACCAAACCCCTGTTATAATGCGTGCAAAACGGGTCTGGGGCTTGGATGATGAGAGACAAGGTCTGATCATGTCGTCCTGCAAAGCTGCCCCATGCGGTCTCCGCGCCCCCACTGCGGGGCTGAGCTCAACTCAGGAGGATCCAGGCTAACGGGTTTAGTCATCTTCCAAATCCGCTGGCAGCAGAACCAACTGTTGGGATCACAGCCTGAAGGCCTCTACCAAAAAAAAAAAAACCAAAAGCCTCGACCCAAACCCCTTCCCAAATGCAGAAAATGGCTGGAGGGAACACCTGCACCAGAGCCCTGCCGAGCCAGGCAGCAGCCAGCACTCCCTGCACGGAGAAGGGGAATGAGAACATGTGGATTTAGGCCAGGAGCAAACCCCAGACCTGGAACGCACCCAGGAAGCAAAGCAGCTCTGGACTCCAGCACACCCACAAACATGCCACTGCGGCTCCACTCCGGAGCCAGCCACCTCGCCGCCATGCGGGGCCACCCTCGTCACCT